ATAGCTATTGGAGCTGGAAGTCCAGTTTTCATTATACTGCTGCTTCTAGTTTCAAAACGAATTCAAAAATAAATTTTTACATTAAAACAAATTTTTACTGGACAGGTGTCATAGATTTGCGTTGTGCCAACATTGTATTCGATGGAATCAAATGATATGTAATTGATTAGATGATTTTTTATGTAATATAATTGTGAGTGAGAGAATCAACTTACTGCTTTTATCGCGAACGAATTCTGTCTTCTAATTAAGTACTGTGTTTTATATTCGATATTTATTAACGCTTGTTTACGCGTATTATTTGTAATGGTGAGAGAATGTTTCTTCTTGAGAAATATTTATATTGACGATAATATCCTATCCGCTGAGCTACGCTTCACCTTCTAATTCATCTAAATACTTGATATTGCTTTTTATTTTGGTAGGTTCTTCAGCGGACAATGTGTAAATAAGGAAAAAAATATATGCGCAAAGCACAAATATGATTGATGCCTTCGAATAAGATGACAATTTTAATAAAAACATGCTTATTGCAAGACGACATTCTTTTCCTTTCATTTACCGATTCAAATGAATGAACATATGTTTTCATTGATCATTAGTTTGCATATTATTCTGTCAATCGTAATTGCTTTTTATAAGAGAGTAGACATGCCGAAAACAAATAGGCTCAGTACAAAAATCACTGGTAAAGCGATTTAACCTCGTGAGGACCGCTGTCTTCAGGCTGAAGACAAAAAGAACGAAAGAATATTTTTCTCGTTCTGTCGTATCCTTGAACATATGTTTAAAAAGCAGAAAATGATGGAGAATCGTTCATTCAGCCGATGGTGATTACTGATTATTTTCTTCTAACTAAGAAGAAAATATCAGCTAAATTTAGTTCGATAATTATTGAAGATTATGCTCCTATTTTTTAGATCATGTTTTAGTCTATACTATATTTTACTATGAAATATATCAAAAACATTCTCCTTATCCATTTTGAATATAAGACGTTGTGAAAATACAAAACTATTCTTTCTATGTCATAAGACTTGTTTTTTTCCGAAATATTTCGTTTCTTTCATATTATATAATACAGCATAATATGAAGACGATAGTACAAGCCCAAGCGACATGATAAAATACACAACATATGTACAGCTGGTTGAAAACGGCAGAACGCAAACGAGAGTGATATTTTTATTTTTCTCTAGCTTCGAACAGAACGCAAGAATTCTCAGGATTCAGGAGGTTAATATATATTTACACTATACACCCTCACATTTCACGTGCGATACTAAGTTGTGTATAATTCATTTTACTCATTAACTGGTCATAGAATCGATACGGATAAAAAAAACAACATTATCTCCGTAAGAGCTTTATTTTAAAATGAAATATGATATGTTATGTAGTGCAATCTATCATTGTCATTTCTGTCATTGTTATGACATCGTTATATATATATATCACTTTTCGTTCTACTTGAACTATATCATGCGATCGTTTTCAGTATATTCCATTCCTTTCTGTATGACTTCTTATGCGTTCTCTCTTCTCTATCTTCTTCTAGTAGCTTCCTTCCTATTCCATGCCTCTGTATATATATATATATATATACCCGACACTTCTACACAAGAAACGTCTGTTTATTAGTTTGCCATCAAACGCTAAATACAGGTTCTAAAAGACTAACAATCGGATAGTGATTAATTAATCTTACAGGTAACAATCATCATTATACACGCAGTCACTATACATCAATTAACTTTGCACTTTTAAAACTTATTTTTGTATACGTTCTATTGCATACAAGCTGTCAAAAGATATCTTTTGTGATATAATCGAGTATGAAATCATGACAATTTTTGTTAGACAATCATCAAAACATATTTTTAATCGCATAGCATTTCTCTCTCTCTCTCTATTCATTCAAAGGAAAGATGTGCATGCCTATTCTTGCTCGTGACTTGGTAATCCAACCGTGGAATGAGAAAACAAAAAAATGCTTTACGGACAAATGAACGGTGATTTATTTTTCTTATTTACTTACAATCATCTAAATTACGACGATCGTCTAAAAATCTTTACAGAATTTTAGTCTCACGAACACCATATTAGCACGCCGCAAAGGAGGGAGGCGGATAAGGTCATTTTCTCGCCTCCACTATTTTAGCAGGAAAATCATATATTCGTAATCAGCGCCAAATTCTAAACAAAACTGTGTCTTTTGTTTTCTCGAAAAAGCAAGCTTTTTTGTTTTTGAAAATTTTTTGTCCTTGACCCCTCAGAAACGTTGAAAAAACATTTTCTCATATTTCTATGAAAGATATACCATTCGATTCAGAACTTTGTGCTGATCGCAAATATCAGGTTGAAAATGAAAAAAATCGAATCTTAGTGGAGAAAGTTTGAATCTGTGTGTGCAGCTGCCGCTAGTTACTTGATTGGAATTTATGCTGTTTTGGGGTGCGCTATGTTAAGCATGGAGACACTGAAAGGTGGCTAGATATACTTAAATCATTCAATCTTATAGAATATCGTATATGAAATACTAAGAATGCCGTATTTTATTCTGAAAAGTCGTATTGAAATCAAGAATCAATGGAAAATCATTTCTTTTTATTTTAATTTTCTCTATCAGTCTTAATAAATGAGGTAACAATCTGAAAATTATATCACATATACTATTTTGAATACTCTATCGAATGAATCTACTTTAATAAGAAAAAAATACGCTTTTTTTAAAAATCCTGTTTTAATCATCTTAATTCACTGGAAAAAGCTTTATCGATTGTAACTGATAAAAGTATCATTGGAAAGTCTTCCATGACATCTCACATGCTGTTCAAAGCATTGTTTGCCTATAATGGAGAGTTTTTGTAGGATCGTTAGTCGTGGCTGAATGTACCACGTTTATCTTTCTCACCGCGAAGAGGTCATCCGACACGGAGAAAGATTTCTCGATTTTCAAATTGGAAACAATATCCATTTTGTCTAAATTTTTTACATTTTGATGTTGGTTTAGGTTGTATTAATTGACAATCTAAACAACAAAAGACATAAAAAATATTCAAACAGATTTTATATTTAACTTACGTTAGTCATTATACTGTCGACTATAATGTACTAAAACTGGATGATCTAGTTTTTCTCTATGACAAAGTGTGTGAATTTCAATACGATTGGTCGTGCTAAATCGCTTCTTTCTCGACTAAAATAAATAGACAATAAGAATAGAGAACGAACCAATAATGACGAATTTATAAAGAATACTAAAAGATACGAAAGAAGCAAAAGAATTTATATCAGATATCATATACTAGTTAACAATCAAATAGAAATAAAAATATCTTTTCCATCAGATACAATATCTTTTGAAAAAATATTTACTTTAGATACCATTTAAATCGAAAAGTTCAATCAACTGATTCAGCTTGTTTAAATATAGTTAGAAACAAGATGATTGAAAGATAATTATTCAAAAGAAAAAAATGTTTATAAGGGGAAATATTTTTGTTTATGTTCAATAAAATTATAATGACAAAAAGAGATTTGTAATTCCAATCTTTAACATGAGAAAAATAAAAAATAGTTAGGATATATAGTACTTGTTTACAACTACTTCCTTCATTTATTATCAGAATAGAAAACTCTTCTCTTTCTCCTCAATCTTCTTACAATTGCTCTTGTGTTTTTTCATATAATCACATAAACTTATTATTACCATAGATATATTATAATCAATTATAGCTAGTATTTTAATTTTTCATCATTTTTTAATAACATTTCTTTGAAACAAAAGTGCGAGCAAGGTTTAATAATTATATTAAATTGATAAGGAACAAGCATATGCCTTTTGGTTATTCAATTATTTAGTAGAGACGAATTTATTTTTTATTATGCGTAAACTGATGGCATTTCGCCCTTACAGTCAAGACGAATCATTTCAGTACATTCAGCAATACGTTTTTTGGTAGATAAAAGATATATATTTTATGGAGTGTACTGACCTACATAATACATCTTATCTATCTCTACTACTATAACGAAGAAACTAAAATCAATCGATTGATCTAAATGAGAAGAAACAAATTCTGATTCAAGAGTCTGAGACAGCAAAAAAAGTTCCTTTTAAATATAAAATTTTAATTATTGTTTGCCATTCGATTAATTCGAATAAAATCTTCTGTGGTTAAAGTTCATGTTGGTAAAATAACATTATCAATATTAAATTCACCATCATTCTGTCCAAAATTATCATTGCTACAAGTATTTTATATTTTTGATAAAGAAAATAGTTCAAATATTAATTCTTTAACATTAGATAAATTATGTTGACAATTTTGCCATAATAAAGGCATTGAATGAAATGTTCGATTAAAGTATGATCAAATTTATTTTCATGTAAATATATTCTTCAATGTTGCATACTGTTATGGAATATTTTCTTCCTAGTTCAAAAATCTTTCTTTAACAGAGTAGAAAGGCTTCTAAACCGTTCCATTCACTATTAGAATGGTTTTCTTTTCATTCTATTTGAGAAAGGTCGGGATTGAGTTCCATTTTGAGAAGATCGCGTTCTCTCACGTTTTGTAATGGAATGCCTCAGAATGCACTCTCGGAAGTAATTAATGTATTCTACCGTTTTCAAATGCAATACGTATATCTATATATTCATTTGAAAAATATAAATACTTAAATTTATACATAAAAATATATATTTTTCGATATAAATACATTTATATACATAGAATCAAGCGCAAACATATGTCAAGTGACCATAAATTATTACGGATAGAATATGAATAATTTGTAGATGAGCAAGAATGCATAATATCACGAGTCTATTGCGTATGAACTGTTGGTCACGCTTTAGTCAAATGACGAAACAGTGTTGTTCCCTTTTCGCCACAAGAAGGCCCCCATTTAGAAAAGGATCTTTTTATTCATTCTCTGCTTTTGCTTCCTGATTCAGTTGAAAGGAAAAGAAAATCTCAAAAAACGAAAGTGTGTAATGATTTTTTATGCTTTTTTCACATTTTTTCCACTGCACTGTTTTCTACAATCACCCTCTATGGTGAAAGTAAATAGCGAAATGGTTTTACGATTTTTCTTCTCTTAGTAAAATAAGATTACTAATAAATT